CGAACACAATCAACATCAAAAAAAAAAAAAAAAAAAAAGAGGCTCTCAAATTCATATCTCAAAATGTAATGATCGAAACAAAATAACAGATGCGAACATTTGAATAAGAAAATGTAAAGCCTAAAACAAAATCTCGACCAGTTTCATCGATGCTCTTCCATTACACCAGGCCTCGAAGCGCATTTGGGGGATGACGCTTGATAAGACATTGCCGATTCCTATCCACCATGCCAGTTCACAAATTTTTTCTTCCTCTCTCTGCTTCGGCGTTTCCATGGCGTTTCCCTCGATCGTTCCCGCCATTGAAGCTGCAACGACTCTGAAAATTTTGCTGCCTTCCCGCTATCACTATGACTACGCCATGTATTTGAAGTATAAATATTTTAAAAAAAAAAAAAAATTTCTCTTTTTAATTTTTTTTTCAATTAAAATTCAATTATTCCATTGACATGCAATAACCATTTTCAATTTTTCTCCAATTTTCACTTATTTTATTTATTTGATTAATTAATAATTTAATTTTCAATTAATTATTTGATTTATTTGCCATAAAATAAACTCATTATATCATCCCCAACATATTTAAATTTGTCATTCCATCCACGTCAGCAGGTCTAGTCAGCATATTGTTAAATTAAAATAAATAAGGATTATTTATAATTACTTTGTAAATATTGGGATAAAAAATATCCAAAATTAAAATAAGTAAATAAATAATAATAATAATTTGAAAAATATCCGAACTTACCACCAGGTGGAGGGAGCATGAAAACAAACCAGAGGCCAAAGAGGGATAAAGATAATGGATGTTCGTTCACTCTCAAACGCCACCTCCACCACTTCCTCCGCCGTCTTCCCGCCACCTCGCCGTCGTCACCACCATTCTCATCCTTCTTCCGCCCTAATTGTTATCTCATTGAAGCGTCCGCCTCCGCCGCCGCCGCCGTCTCGTTCCGATTCTGACGATTCCTCCGGCTCAACCGCCTCAATCTCTGGCCGAATTCGTCGCCCACAAATCCTAAAAACCTCTTCCTCCCCTAAACGCACCACCTCTAAAGTTCCGTCTAATCCTCTCAAGAATCTGGTCGGCTCTGCCAATGTTCCTGTTCTTCCTTTGCCTCCGCCGCCGCCGCCTCCGCTCCCTGTTTCCCACTCGCTCGGCGACAAACTCTGGCTTTCCAGTAAGCTCTCTCCACCGCCTCCCCCGATCACCGAGATACCGGAGGAAGATGAAAGCGAAAACGAAGAAATTGAAACCGAGGATTCTTCGAGTGAGGGGCGGAGAGAAGTTCAATTCCGCCAAGAGGGTAAGATTTTTGTTGGGAACTTGCCTAATTGGATAAAGAAGCATGAGGTTCAACAGTTTTTTCGGCAGTTTGGTCCTGTCAACAATGTGATATTGATTAAGGGTCACGATACTACGAAAAGAAATGCCGGATACGGATTCGTCATATATGATGGGTCGACTGCAGCTAAGTCGGCCATGAAAGCCGTTGAGTTTGATGGAGTGGAGTTTCACGGAAGGGTTTTGTCTGTGAAATTGGATGATGGGAGGAGGTTAAAGGAGAAGGCGTATGAGAGGGCGAAATGGATGGAGGGAGATGACAGTGTGGAGTTTCGTTCACAATGGCATGAAGAGAGGGATAAGGCACGGAAGGGCTTTCGCATGGTTATTGAGACAGAGCCGGAGGATTGGCAGGCGGTTGTCTCAGCCTTCGAGAGGATTAAAAAGGTAGCTTCTTCAATTCCTTTGGAATGTTTTTGAATTAGCGGCTTCTTGAATAAATTATGTGTTTACAATATGGTTCTTGATGGATTGTTTTTCAAGTTATGTAAATTCTTATTCAGAATCTCAACTCAAGTTCGGTCGAATAATTTCTCCGCAGTTCTAGCCGATATTGCTAACTTCGAGCAAGCGACCATGAGCTATTGTATTACAAGTTCATGTTTCCTTAAGTGTCTTGCATTTTTCATGGTTATTTTATGTTTGGTTAGATAACTGCTTGGCAGTAGTGTAATATCGCAGATGGTGTGTTCTCTAATTACAAGTACATATGTCATTTATACTCGACGTTTTTGTTCTTTCATTTATCCAAGTCAAAGTTTGGTTTTCAAAAAAAGAAGGTATAATAGTTGGGGAGTGTAACAGCCCAACCCCACCGCTAGAAGATGTTATCCTCTTTTCCCTTTCGAGCTTTCCCTCAAGGTTTTTAAAACGTGTCTGCTAAGGAGAAGTTTTCACACTCTTATAAAGAATGTTTTGTTCTCCTCTCCAACCGATATGGGATCTCACAGTGAGGTTCGCAGAATTAGATGTAGACTTCATGGTACATACTTTAATCTGTTAGTTCATAATAGATGTATGTATGCTTTTGGAATAGATTTTGCTTATAACTGACAATTCTGGGTTTTCCATGAATTTTGCTGTTTGTTTTGAGAGTTGTATTCAAGCTTAGTATGTTTTTTTAATACAACAAAGCATCGCCATGCCTACTTGAATCCGTTCATTCAAACTTGCACTCACGATGACAAATTCATGTGCAATAGTGTATGCAAGCTCTGAAACATGTCATATTCACCGTATACGTATTCTTTAGAGGACTGAATTTGGACATTTCATATTAATTGTTTTGATATTTTTTGTTGTTATGGGGTGAATTGTACTATCTTCAAGCCTTCTAGGAAGGAGTATAGTTTGATGGTGAACTACTATGCAAGAAGAGGTGATATGCATCGTGCACGTGAAACATTTGAAAAGATGCGGGCTAGAGGAATAGAACCCACGACTCATGTCTACACAAAGTAATAACTATTCCTAAACATTTCTCTTTCCTTTTATTATGTTTCAAATATATTGATTCAAGCTTAATTTATTTTGAGTGCTTCATGATGCGCAGCCTTATACATGCTTATGCAGTAGGTAGAGATATGGAAGAAGCATTATCTTGTGTCAGAAAAATGAAAGAGGAAGGCATAGAAATGAGTTTGGTAACTTACAGCATTCTTGTGGGTGGATTTGCCAAAATGGGAAATGCAGAGTAAGTAATTATCATTTCATGTGTGAGTACATAGGTTCATAGAGTTTTCATTATATATAAGCTTTGCCCTGTTATTTTCAAATCCCTAGATTGATTTTCTTGCCATTCGTTTCCATTGTTGATTGGTAAAACCTACAAATACCAAATGGTCAATCACTTTAGTGATACCTAGCTCTCATCTGAAAAAAGGTTGTGCATGTCTTCTCAGACCTTATGAACATTTGATCAGGCTTCTTGACTATTGTGTATTTAAGTTTATCAATTAAGGGCTTGTAGTCAAAACATTTGATCAGGCTTCTTGACTAATGTGTATTTAAGTTTATCAATTAAGGGCTTGTAGTCAAGTGGTGGCTGCCTTCATTATGAGGGTTCCATGGTAGTACTTTGTGAGATCCCACATCGGTTGGAGAGGGGAACAAACCATTCTTTACAAAGGTGTGGAAACTTCTCCCTAGTAGACACGTTTTAAAACCTTAAGGGGAAGCCCAGAAGAGAAAGCCCAAAGAGGACAATATTTGTTAGCGGTGGGCTTGGGCTTTGGCTTTTACAAATGATATCAAAGCCAGACACCGGCAACGAGGACGCCGGGTTCCCAAGGGGGTGGATTATGAGATCCCACATCGGTTATAGAGGGGAACAAAACATTCTTTACAAGTGTGTGGAAACCTCTCCTTAGCAGACGCATTTTAAAACCTTGATGGGAAGCCCAGAAGGGAAAGCCCAAAGAAGACAATATCGGTTAGTAGTGAGCTTGAGCTTGGACTTGGGCCTAGCCTGTTGCATGTTCCGTTCTGAAGGAAGTTGAATCCTATTGCTGCAGGGGGAACTTTGCGGAAAATCATTTTAAGGTTGCTTTTCGCCCAATGTTTGACTGTAGGAAGTAGATGCTATTTTTCTGTATTATCTAGTCGTTTAGAGTTTGTTCACTCAATTTATTTCTGTTTTCATATTCACTAGTCATTTTTCTTATGCATCTTTTTTTTATCTAAATTGTATTACATTTGCATTTGTCTTGGAAGAGCTGCAGATCACTGGTTTCAGGAGGCGAAAGAGAAACACTCGTTGAATGCCATCATTTATGGGAATATTATATATGCTTACTGGTAATTATTTGACAAACGATGGATCAAATTTCTTTTTTCTATGAAATTGTTACATCGCCTGTAATATTCTTCGTCGCTGAGTGTGTGCATGTGTTCTTTTTTTTTTTTTTTTGTGGATTATTTTCTAGTATAATACAAGGGAAATACTATTTTATAATTAGCTAGTTTTGATTACAGTCAAATATGCAATATGGATAGAGCGGAAGCTTTGGTGAGGCAAATGGAAGAAGAAGGCATAGATGCTCCAATTGACATATATCACACCATGATGGATGGTTATACAATGGTTGGAGATGAGAAGAAATGTCTGCTTGTGTTCGAGAGATTTAAGGTACAATTCTATGGCAATAGGTTGGAGTAGACGTGTGCATGAGTTGATCTGTTTCCTCAAATCTTATGTCCTCGGTTCAGTTTATGGCGCCGAGCTCGGGTAATTTCTATTTTTGGAACAAGTGTCAACTAAAAGAAA